ACCTGCCGCCGAGTCCCGATCGGTGCATTTGGAGCATAGATGCCAATAAACATATGAAATGTTGATTCCTTGAAGTGTAGGCATGCAATTTGGATGCAACAAATCAACATCAACTAGTTTTAAAGAAGCGATTTCAAAAAAGATACGGTGCTCGCTTTTATAAATGTAAAAAATGTTTTATACGATCATTTGTTACATAGAATAACCATCTTGAATTTGGAATCATATGGCTATTCAATATTTCAGTAGCTTTTCTCCACAAATTGCAAAATTATATCTCAATTTCATCTGAAACTAGTTTTCCCTTACCTAACCATCATTCACGGAACTGGGAGCTAGAATAGCTAGAGCAATGCGCATGGTAACATTTGGCAACTTGAGGCGCAAGGAGGTTCAAAGTTCCTTATCCCAAGGGCATGGGGAGCAAGTTTTGCACCCTCTTGCCCGGCCGCCGGAGAAAATGACTACATGGATGTGCAAAAGAACATCTCATGATCTAACGTGTTATTTCATTAATGACGAATATGAAGGCATAAGAAGACATTTCAAAAAAAATTAACGACATGGATTTCGCTGATTTCGTAGCAATTTCTTTAATAAGAAGAAGTCACAAAACAAGAAGTTCATGCTTGAGCTCTAAAACTACAACACAAAGGTGAGAAGACGCCTAGTATACAGCATGTAGGAATGAACGAATATCCCAAAAAGATTTTAGAAAAAACTCATCATTTCACCTCCCCTCCACCCCTTTCAAAAAAAAAGAGACAAAAGCATCCAATGTACAAGTTAAAGGAGCAAATTTCCAAAATGAAGTCATTAAAGTCACGTAGAACTTTTGAAACGCGCGCATTATGCCTGAATGTAAGGGTTTTTCAAGTTACGGTAGTGGGAATGGCGCGCAGCAACTGGCCTAAATTTTAGACTCGATTGCTTATCATTTTCGTAAATGTTCGTTTGTGGTACGGTGTGTCTGCCTTTTACGCTCCATTCCCGTTCTGAAGTGAGTTCAAGTTCTACCACTTTAGTATTAGTAATAATAGAGAGGTACCTCTATGGCAACCAATTGAAATTTTGCAGGAAATGCTTCTGGTCAACAACTTGGT